TACCAAAAAACCCCAAAATACAACACTGTTCCTCCTTATATATCCCTTTCTACCCTGGGTATATCAGCATCTACTAATCATTTCCACCAATAATATGGTAGCCAATTTTGACTCTTCCTTCCTCTCACAGTGCCCTCCACCCTTGACCCCTTTATATTAATGCTTGCTATCTCCATTCCTACGTCATCAATTAAAACCCTAGACTATGCCAACGGTTTCCCCCCCCTCACCTAACAACTTTACTGACATACAATTTATAGAATATAAACATCGGGAACCAGCAGTTAGCGTAATGGCTATGTCGCTGGACTCCCACATAGTCGACCGTGGTTCGCATCCCAGACCCGGTGGCTTAAAACTCACGCTGGGCGCGTGTGCGTGCGTGCCCTCTCTCCCTCCTCTCTCTGTCTCTGTCTGGTGAGTACATGTCCCCTGTAGCAAATTTTTAAAAAAATAGATGGAATCATTAGTGATAGACTTTTCCAAGAGCTGGAAAATATCAACAAAATAGTGCCCATGGAAAGGGCTACTTCTCATTAGAGTCAGAAGCACTAAGATAAACTTTTAGGGCCGGCATCATACAGGGTGGTTAAGCACTGTGCACAGAAAGCCAGATGCGATATGGTCAGCTGTGGTCTGAGGCCCGGTCCCAGTCCCCGCAGCTTGAAGACACAAGGCAGTGTGTGCATACCCAGACCATTCTGAAGGGTGGAGAGACGGAGGGAAACAGACTGCAATCTGACCATGCTGAGTCGGGGGTTCTCTCACTCTCTCTTTTTGGCAAGTATTCCTGCCCTCTGGCAGTAAAAAAGATTGTAAAGAAAGAAAAGAACAATTTTTTTAAATTTTTCCTTCTCCAAGGGATAAAAAAAAAGATATAAAAACAAACCAGATTATTGGTCAAGCTTGCAGCTGTCTATCACTTTGTAACCTTTGGCAAATTAAATTATTAAGCACACGGAAACAAGGAAATACTCAGCCAATACAACTGCTGTAAATGGAAGTGTTCAATAAACTATAAAGTAATACAAAAGAATGAACAATATTTATTATTAAATGTAAGCCTCTATATAAAATGTGCATGTTCTATGAAATTCAAGGTTGCTACCACATACTTGAACTTCCTTTCAGCTGTACGCACAGAAGTGTGTGGAGGAAAGGATAAGTGGAACTTACAAGACAGCTCATTCTCTCCCATTCTGCAACATTAATTTTTTAAAGGGGGTGGAGCAGAATAAACTATTCAACTACAAAAAGAAAGAGTTACCTACCTATTGGAGGTGCTTGGTATCGATCCACAGTTTTTCTTTGTCTCAAATTATATGGTCTATCATTTTCTTCTCCTTCTGCCTCCTCAACTTCTATATCTCCATCCTCCTCTTGAGATTCTAGTTTTCCCCCATACAAGAAGAAAAACAAGCATTGTTTTAATCCAGGATTCATCCACAAGAATTGCATATTTACATTTTATCCATTACTCTTTCTGCACAAGTGACATTTAAAAGTGTTAACATTTTAAGGTAAGGTATGAATTAATACAATTAAAATAAAGGAGAACGTTTAAACAACTTCCTACACACATGCTAGCTTATGAAAAATAAAATCACTGAATTAACAAAGGTAACAGAGTATCTTTCACATACTATTCTTACTTTCATCTTTCTATAAGACCTCACTACAGACTTTAGATTCATTCACTAAAATAATGTGTTATAAAAATCACCACCTGGGACCAGCAGATGGCATAATAACTACGTCACTGGACTCCCACATAGTCAATCACAATTCGAGTTCCGAACCCAGTGGTTTCAAACTCACACCAGACGCATGTGCGTGCATGCCCAAGATCATGAGAGAAGGGATTGTGGTGTGGCCATACCTCCTGGGGGATGATTTCTCACTTTCTGTATCACTCTCTGGTGAGAGTTCATGCCCTATAGCAAAACTCTCTCAAAAACAAACACAAACACCACATCGGACAGATGGCCAACTCTACACAATTCAAGTCCCAGACCCAGTGGCTTAAAAAACACAGCAGATGCATGTGCATGTGTGCAAAATCTCAAGAGAACAGAGGAGAAGGGACTGGTGTGCACTCGCCAGCCAGACAGAGAGAGACATAGAGACAGAAAGCGAGAAATCACCCCCCAGAGGGGATGGTCCCTTCTCCTCCATTCTCCTCTCGGGATCTTGGGCACGCACACACACGCACCCGGCGTGAGTTTTAAGCCACCAGGTCCAGGACACGAACCGTGGTCAACTACATGGGAGTCCAGCGACATAGCCATTACGCTAACTGCTGGTTCCCAATTAATATATTAATTACAGATACACAAATCTACTTCAATAAAGTTTAATGCCTACAGGGGCCGGCAGGTGGTATAGTGGTTAAGGGCACTGGACTCCCACATGGCTGGCTGTGGTTCAAGTCTCAGACCTGGCAGCTTGCTTTCTTGCTTTCCCTCTTTCTCTTTCTCTGTCCCTCTCTGGGCAAATTAAGATAAATACATAAATAAATAAAATAAAATTCAATTAAAAAATTTTTTTAATTTAATGCCCACAGAATTAAATCCTGTAGGTGCATTGGTCAATTCACGAGGCCAGTGTTCACTGCTGCAGTCCTACAAACTCAGTCCGGTTTCCTCAGTTCAGACCTCAAACAGTCCTCAGAGAAGAATGACATAACCCCTGCATTAGTCATAGCAGGACCTCTTTCTCTAAACTTCACCATTTACTCCTCAGTCCTTAACTACGTTTGTGTTCTAAACGATCAGAGATTTAGAAGCTATGAATAGCAAAATAACCTTCCAGTTAGAAGGTGCCTATGTAGAGAAGAGGCTTCACCTAATGAGCAAATTAGCCCATGACAAATGCAATACCACATTAGGTCACCTGAGGACCACTAATGACAAGTAGTACATAAGACCAGGCATACTGTAGAGTTAAGATCATTTTTTCAAGTGAAGGAAAACTCAGAATGCCAAATGAATTGAAATTATTTCAAATTATACAATACAGACCTCAAAAGCCAAAAGTTACCCTCTCAGCCATATTATACAGCTAGTACATATATATGTAATTATTATTTTTCCTCCCACCTGGACTTCCTATATGTATTTCGTAAGATGCTTTACCAACCTTCTTCTTCACCTTCAGTAGAGACTTCGTGATGATTCTGTATCCCATAACTGTTTCTTCTTAGTGATTTCCTTCGCCTTTTCACTCTTGAGTACATATCCATGTTTTCCTTTTAAAGAGAGAAATATGTCAAATATTAACATGGCATTTATTCTCACTAAATAATGTTAACCCAAAGGGACAAGCCTCTCAATAAAATTTTGTGAGCATCTATTTACTTCCTAAACTCAATAAAAGTAAGAGACAAAAAAAAAAAGTAATATATTTTAAAACTAAAAACAGTATTATAAACATCTCTCTCAAGTAAATTACAAATTAGTAAGAAGGAATAAAGCAAGTCACAGATAATTATAAAAGAAAAGAAAACAAGTTAAATTCCATAAAGAAAGGTACAAAGTGGGGCCAGCAGATGGTGCAGTGGTTACATCGCTGGACTCCCACATGGCCAAATGCAGTTCAAATCCCAGACCTGGTGGCTTGAAACTCAACACCAGGTGCATGGTGTGTGTCCATGCCTGAGATCCCAAGAGGAGAATGGAGGAGGGACCGGCAGGTGGCGTGGTGGTTAAGGGTGCTGGACTCCCACATGGCCAACCGTGGTTCAAGTCCTGGACCTGGTGGCTTGCTTTCTCACTTTCTCTCTGTTTCTCTCTCACTCTCTCTCTTTCTCTCTCACTCTATCCCTCTCTGGTCAAATTAAAATAGATAAATAAATGGATAAAGTTAAATAATTCTTTACAAAAAAAAGAGGAGAATGGAGGAGAAGGGACTGCAGTGTGGCTATCCCCCCCAGGGGGGGATTTCTCAAGTTCTATCTCACTGTCTCTGTCTCTCTCTCTAGTGAACACACACACTCTATAGCAAAAACTTCTCTTATTTTTAGAATAAGATTTTTACTATAGGGTATGTGCGCTCATCAGAGAGACAGAGACAGAAAGCAAGAAATCACCCCCCCAAGGGTAGGGGGAGAAACCACGTTGCAATCCCTTATCCTCCGTTCTCCTCTAGGGATTTGGGGCTCGCACACACATGCACCCAGCATGAATTTGAATGCCAAGTCTGGGACTCAAACCGTGATCGACTACATGGGAGTCCAGCGATGTAACTATTATTCCATCTGCTGGTCCTGGCAAAAACCTCTTTAAAAAAAAAAGAAAGAAATGTACAAAGTACTCTAAAATTCAAAGAGAAGCCCCTCATCTAATTATGGAGTTGGAGGGAAGGAGGCAGCATTTGAAATGAATCTTGAAACAAAGATAGGACAACATTAGTTGCTAGCCACAAATATTAACAGAAGTAAAAGGTGCGGGACAGGAGTGATCTGCTGATATCTGGGCAATGATATGTGAGAAGATTAAGTTGAAACCAGATTATAAAAGTCACTTTTTCCTTCTTTTTTTTTTTTTTTGTCTTTTTCATCTGCTATAGGGTACATGTGCTTGCCAGGGGGGAGAAGAAATGCAAAAGCAAGAAAGCACCCACTAGTGGGGAGGGCCATGCCACAGTCCCCTCTCCTATCCGCTCAGGATTTTCGCACTTGCAAAAGTCACCAGGTCTGAGACTCGGACTGTGCAGCCGGCCACGCGGGACTCAGCTGTCTGGACTACATCACCACTGGCTCAGGGTCAGCTATTTTTCATTAATCCAGGGTACAAGTTTAAAATAAATAAATAATAAAGGTTCAAATAAGAGTGATCGAATCAGAGCTATGCTTTAAGATGACTCATCCAGCAAGGGTGTAGAGGGACTCTGGGAAGGTTGTGACAAGAAGGGAATGGGTAAGAGAAAAAAACAAGCAATAACATTGGCAACTAAGCTGTAAATGGAGAGTAAAGAACAACTATGTGAAAATCCAACTGCTGCTCATTCTCTCTTTGAATTCCTCAATAGAAATAAAAATCGTCTGTAGAAGTTGCTAGTTGATATACTCACAAATTCTGTATCTGTCCACATTCGAAGTCGTTCTACTTCTCCTGATCGACGGTTCCGTCTGATGTTAATGTTGTCCATTTCCTGTAGTACAGCTTCGGCAGTACTACAATCATATAATAAAAACAATGGTGGAACCACAGAGTATCACGTAAAAGAGCTCTGAATTAAAGGATAATTAAATATCTGATATGTTACCATACATAACACCCCAATTAAGTACCTCTTTTTTAACCATCATCCATTAGGAGATAATAAGCAATGGAAAAAGAACATCTTGTACTTTAACACATTCATTATTTATTAATGTAAAGTGTAAAAATATAAGACTTGTTTATAAGGCTCCAAATAAATAAATTCATAACGTCACCACAATTAAGTGACTACTAGATTTATGGCACAAACAAAAGAATAACTAATGCAACCTTTTTATTTGAAGATGGTATTAACTGTACAGAATAAAAGGGTGTATAAGAAGCTCAAACCCAACATAACAGTAATCGAACACATTTTTAGAATACTGACATCTAGGGCCCAGAAGGTGGCGTGGTGGTTAAAGGCACTGGATTTGCTTTCTCCCTCTCTCTGTCCGTCTCTGGTCAAATAAAAAAATAATAATAACAACAACAACAAACTGACGTGAATAAATAAATAGTTCTTTTGAAAAAAGAATACTGGGAGCCCGCGGGTGGCATGGCAGTTAAGTGCGCTGGACTCCCACAGGGCCAACCCTGGCTCAAGTCCTGGACTTGGTGGCTTGCTTTGTCATTCCCTCTCTCTCTTTCTCTCTCTTGCTCCGTCCCTCTATGGTTAAAGTAAAATAAAAATAAAGTCAAATAAAATAATTATTAAAAAAAAAAAAAGAATACTGACATCTAATAAGTACATGTTAACATCTTAGCAATTTTTGTCTTTTTTGAAAAATAAGCACTTAAAGTAATTTGTTTTTAGAGGTTTTTGCTATAGGGAGCATGCCCTCTCCAGACAGAGAGAGAGAGAGACAGACAGAGAGACAGAAAGCGAGAAATCACCCACCCAGGGGGGATGGCCACACCGCAATCCCTTCTCCTCCATTCTCCTCTCAGGATCTTGGGCACGCATGCACACGCGCCCGGCGTGAGTTTTAAGCCGCCGGCTCCAGGACGCGAACCACAGTCGACTATGTGGGAGTCCAGCGACATAGCCATTACGCTAACTGCTGGTCCCCGTAATTTTTTATCATGAGAAACAGAGTTAGAAGTGGGAAGGACAGAGAGAAGTACCTGTGATAGGATCTCTTCACGTAACGATCACCCTGTCTTAGTAAGTTATAACCACAGGCACACACCACCACACCTAACTCATTTACACTGGGCTGGGAACCAAACCGCAGCCTTCCACATAGCCTCAGTCATTGCACAGAGGCACCTTCCCACCTGCTCAACCACAGTTAGGCTCAATCACTAGCTAAGTGACTTGATCCCACATCACCAATCTCTAAACACTTTCACCTTCAACTGAAAATCTTGGACTACGCACAACCATGATTTACTATTTATCAACAATGAACCTTACTGTGGTTTGAAAACTGTCAAAAACACAATTAAGTGAGCAAATATTAAAAGACTATAGTAGTAAAAACAGAATTTTTTCTTTTTTAAATTTGACGGGAGGGGGGAGAGGCGGGGCGGGGGGGCAGAGCATGAAAAAGTGAACCACCAGGTCCAGGCCTCAAACCACGGTCTGCCACGTGGGAGCCCAGCGTCTTAACCACCACACCACCTGCTGTCCCCAGAATTACCTTTTGTACCATCTAGTAGATAATATAAAAACACAAAACCTCAAAAGAGATAAGAAAATGTTAGCTATTATAACAATTTTACTAAATCTGGTGTATATATATATATACACACACACACACATATATATAAACCTGACAGGGTCAGCCACCACAAATAAATGACTACTAGATTTGCGCATGGAAAAAAGAGTAACTGGGGCCGGCAGGTGGTGTGCTGATTAAAGGCACTGGACTCCCACATGGCCAACCACAGTTCGAGTCCCAGACCTGACAGCCTGCATTCTCTCTTTCTCCTCACCCCCACCTCTGGTCAAATTAAAATAAGTAAATAAAGTTTTAAAAAAAGGAAAAAAGAGTAACTAACTTGACCTTTAAGGCATGGTAGTTAAGACAGCTGGATCCCATATGACCAACTATGCAGTTCAAATCCCAGATTCAGCAACTTAAAAACATGCTGAATACAAGTGCATGTGCCCAAAACCCCAAAAGGAGAAAGAAACAGAGGAGAGGGATGGCAGTATAACCATTCCTGATGGAGGGTGCTTTCTCATTTCCCTTTCTCTGTTCTCTCCTGTGACTTCGTGTGCCCTCTAACAAAATTAAAAATAATAGAAAAAAAACTTAACAATCACTGTTAAACCATTCTCACTTTCTCTCCGCCCTCCCCCTTCATCCCCCTCTCCCTTAAGCATACACACTCTATGGCAAATTTTTTTAATCAAATCATTAAGTGAAACTACTTACTACAGAAGCATTCGTACCTATTTACAAGTTGATCGAATAACAAACTCTGGTTCACGCTTTCAAATCTGTTTTTTCTGGAACGGCAACTTTTTCTGACTTCCATGTCACCATTTATACAAGAGAGGTCCCCATCTCCCTTCTTTTCTCCACGATGGGGATGGCTTCGAAGGGCTATAAGAAGAGAGATATTTCCATTTCAAAGTACAGAGTACAAAGAGAAAGAAAAGAAAAAAAAATTACTTTGAAGAGACTATAAAATGCTAAGTAGTCTCTCTTAAAATTGCTTTAATATTCAATAATCTAAAATTTCTGTAACTGCTTTACACTGCCATAATAATTTAAACTATTTTAGTTATACCGCCTTCCCAAAGTTTAACAACCATGTACATTTTAACTATGTATACCGCCTTCCCAAAGTTTAACAACCATGTTTAAATATCACTGAAAATCCAGTCATTTCTAACTGTGTGCTGAGTATATTATTAAATCACTCCATTTTTTTCCCCACTTTAATGCTTACTCTTAGCACCATTATAAGAATTTCAATACCAACCAGGTTCATAACAGATACTCACATAAGCTACTATGTCCGTTTGGTAATGTAGCACCAGGCTGAGAAGTTAACCTAGAACACAATTATATTTAATATGCAAACACATCAACACTTGTTTAGATAAGCAAGAAATGCAATATTGCTGAAATTACTTTAATCTTTTAAACATTAGTGCTAATATTACATTTTTAAGAGTAAAGGTTCCTTAACATTGGTAATATACCAATATACTAGCTAGTTAAGAGTCATGTCATAACTTCAAGAAAAGTTTTAAGAACAGAATATAAACAAAATTTATTCTGTTGTCAACTCTGTACATTAAAATCCCCACTAAAAAGTCTTAAGTTAAACATGCACCATAAGTAGCATAAGTAGCAGTGGCCACAAACAGCAACTATTGGTTTTGGTTGACAACATAAAATTCAAACAATGACAAATTTATTCAAAAATGCTTGAATACCAGTATCATTTAATAATTTTTCCAAAATATTTTATTTTTCATTTTAAACTGACAGATTAAAACATTGCTGACTTCTCAGAACAGGTATTTTCTCCTTTGGGTGAAAGAACAAAAGTCTAAATCACAAGGAAAGATCGTTAAAAAGGTCATCAAAAATAGGGACTTGAGGAAAAGGCACACTATTTGTCAGTATAATCAAACGATTCGAAATAACTAAATTGCTACATAATAATAGTCAGTGTAAACTATTTTTGAAATATATAATTATCATTTTCAAAAATTTTTAAAAAAGAGAAGGACATTTCCGAACATATATGATTGTCTTCTGTTTAAGTGGTTTGCATGAATTTTTTAGTTAAAGTATTCTAATGTTTTTGGTTACTCAGCATTCCTCATGTTAAAGAATAAATATAAAAGGTCTTGGAAAACTTCATGGAAAATATATATTATAAAAAAGTATGCATAGATGTGAAATTCTTTTATACCAAAATAAACTCTTACTTTAATTCGATTTCTCCAGAACTTTTTGGAGCCTCCTCCTATATAACACAATGTCCCTACCCAGTAAAGGTCACAGTTAGGATAACTAAAGGATACAAACAAAACTCTAATTCATGACTATTTTGAAACTGTTGAAACACAAAAACAAAATTTTAAATACTCCAGTCCACCTTCCCCACCAGAAAAACTACCCTGTCCTAATATTCTATCCTTGGAGAACATTACATTTTTAGCACTTTTGCACACAATGGACAAGATTCTTCAGGCATGAGTGTGACTACAAAGTAATAAAATTAACATAAAACACATATTCTAACAATGTTGCCATTGCACAATGTACTTCTGGAACTCTCTAGAATCACTCTCAAAATCCACTTCAAACCTCATGGAAAAATCAATGTTATTACTTCATAAATACACTTTGGCTTTGGACCCAAGACAACATTACCATCGGCTTGCTCAGTTTATTCACAAGTGTTGGCACCACATAATTTCTGGCTGTACACAAAAGCCAAGTGGCTGAAAATTTACATCACCTAAATTATTCAAAAGACTAAGATGTAGACCCTAAACACATTCCACAAAAAAAATATAAAACTTTTCTAAACAATGGCAACATCATTAGAAAAAAGCACAATAAGCTATTTGTCTTCTCTGAAGACAATGCTTACTTGGCTTTTATTTTGTTAATGAAAGATCTGTTTTAAGAAAAACAAACAAAAAAAAACTTGTTCTTTAATTGATCCAATTACCTTACAGTCACAGATTATTGTCATAGTCATCATTTCACCATTATCATTTCTCTTTATAAAAAGGAGAGAGGGGGGAAAAAAAGGAGACAGGACATGAAATACTTGGGTATATAAAGAGAAATAGCTAAGATTTTAAGGGCTGACCTGCCCAGACTATAACATATGAGCCTAAAAAGTCTCTGTATATTAATGTTCTGAAAGTTAATAACTCAAAATGTGATTTTTCAGCAGTTTAAATGAATCATGAAATAAATCATCATGATAAAGAAGATTTCTTTGTTGATTTTTTAAAAAAGGAGGTGGGTGAGAGATTATTTCCCTAATCTGTTTCCTTAATTTTTTAAGTGGAGACAGTTTCATTTTTCATTACATGGTTATAACGTTAGAATTTTCTACAGCTTTAATTACCTGGGGCACACACCAATTCAATACCGGAGTTAAAAGTCATTACTTACTCTTTTCTCATATCAACCCAAGGCACTTAGTGGTTCATAAGGGCTTTAAAACCTTGATTCAGAAAAAGCCCCAGTTATGCCAGACCTTACCTAACGACAGCCACCCCTCAATTCTAATGAGCTTCAGCAGTCCAGAGGAGCTGCTTACCTTCTGCTAAACTCACTATTCCCTCGTAACCTGACCACTAAAGGAAATTTTTAGTTGTGTTATATTTAAGTACACAGTTCATTCTATCAAAGACTTAACTGTGTCTATATCTTATAGTGTATCTTCCCATTATGCCAGAGGTATCAAATGCAAGCCATATTCTCCAGGCTATCTCATCCAACACGTGCACATGCAGCCCCCAAGATAAACAAATAATTAAACAAATGTCTAGGGGGTCAAATGTTAGCAGGCAAGTCAGCAAAATGGCACTCTGTACTGCAAATATTTGCAAGCTACATCTATCTTGTTAGCATGTATATTTGTCAATTTCTACAAATAAAAGAGAATATATATTAAGGAAGAAATATGACCAAAAAGTCCTCATTTTATCAAAAAAAAATTAAAATTATGTTGATTGGGATCCAGCAGGTGATGTGGTAGTGAAGGCACTGGACTCCAACATAGACAACCACAGTTTGAGTCCTGGACTTGGTGGCTTGAAAAGCATGCCGGGTGCATGTGCACAGGTGCCCACAATCCCAGGAAAAGAATGGAGAAGAGAGTAAGGCATAGCAATTCCTCCCTGGAAGGAGATTTCTCACCATCTCTAACAAGCACACATACCCCTTATGGCAAAAACCTTAAAAAATTAAAATTGAGGCACTGGGCCCCCACATGGCCAACCACAATTCAAATCCCAGACTTGGTGGCTTGAAAATCACGCCAGGTGTGTGTGGCGGTGTGTGTGTGTGTGTGTGTGTGTGTGTGTGTGTGTGTGTGTCCAAAAATCCCAGGAGGAGAATGGAGGAGAAGGGATTAAGGCATGGTCATCCTTCCTTTTTGTCTGTGTCTCTCTCTCTCTGTCTCTCTCTCTCTCTCTCTCTCAGTGAGCGCATGTGCCCTATGGCAAAAAATAAAAAAATTGTTGATAGGGCCAGCCAGTGGCATGGTGGTTAAAGCAGCTAGATCGCACATGGTTGACTGTACAGTTCAAGTCTCGAGACTGAAGGTTTAAAAAATATACCAGGCATTTGTGTCAGGCATTTGTGTGTATGCCCCAAATCCCAAAAGGAGTGAGGAATGGAGGAGAAGGGATTGTACTGTGACAGTTCTCAATGGAGGGAGCTTTCCTACTCTCCCCCTCCAGCAAGCACATGCACCCTATGCTTCAAATGAAAAAAAAAAAAAAATTATGTTGATAAATTTGGGTCTTCAAAATATAAACTCAGGCCACCCTTTATTACAGTGGGTAAGTGCTATGTGTTGAAATCTAGATCACACATGACTGACTGCAATTCAAATTCCAGCCCTAGCAACATGGAAAATATGTTGTGCATGTGTGCATGTGTGCCCCAAATCCTGCAGGATTGAAAAATGGACGAAAAAGGATTGCTGTATGACCACAACCCCCAGAGGGTATTCTACTTCTCTCTTATTTGACTTCTCTCTCTACCAATTTCATACACCCTCTACCAATAAAAAACTTAACTAAATGTGTGTGTGTGTGTGTGTGTGTGTGTGTATGTGTGTAAATACACACAATTTTCTTTTCAAAAGAAAGTATATAATCTACCTCAAATTGCTCAGGTAGACAGAGAAATTTTAGGCTCACTTTTACCTCTATCTTCATGCCATTACCTTTTTCTAACAGGAAAAGTTATTTACCCATTCAACAGTAACTTCTTCAAAGGTCTTCAGAAAGTTCTTTAGGATTCATTATTTTTCATAGTTAATAACAAATATTTATCTATATTATACTTTTTCCTACACATGTAGTATGTCTAATATTTGTTACAAAAGGGCTTCAATAATTTTACCTTAGATGATCATAAAAGCTTAGACCATTGAGAAAAAAATGAGTAAAGTACAAAGTACAGGTTCATAACATGAAAGCGAATATTAAATCTCCAAATAACTTTTTTTTTTTGTTTTTGTAGAGGTTTTCACTATAGGGCACATGCACTCACCAGGAAGAAAGAGACAAAAAGTGAGAAACCACCCCCGAGGGAATGGCCACACCACAATCCCTCCTTCTCCATTCTCACTTCAGGATCTTGGGCACATGCACATGTGTGCCTGGCCTAAGTTTTTTTTTTTCTTTTTGGAGAGATTTTTTCGCTATAGGGCGCGTGCGCTCACCAGATAGACAGAGAGAGACATAGAGACAGAAAGCGAGAAATCACCCCCCAGGGGGTATGGTCACGCAGCAATCCCTTCTCCTCCATTCTCCTCTCGGGATCCTGGGCACGCACGCACACGCGCCCGGCGTGAGTTTTAAGCCACTGGGTCCGGGACACGAACCGCAGTCGACTACGTGGGAGTCCAGCGACATAGCCATTACGCTAACTGCTGGTTCCCTTTTAAGAGTTTTAAGCCATCAGGTTGGGGACTTGAACCATGATCAACTACCTGGGAGTTCAGTGACACAGCCATTACGCTAACTGCTGGTCCCTTCAAATAACTTTTGATTTTTGTATTTATGCTATCTCAAAAACTAAAATATTTTTAATGAAAAATTTTCCATAAAATTTTATTCTATGAAGTCTAATAAGGTAAACAGCATTTTCTCCTCAGGCTATCTAAAACAACAAAATATTCCAATTCTAACCTTCTAGCACTTATAACTCAAAAGCAGTGTCAACTGCTAAGCATTATTCTTCTGCCAAAACAGAAACAAAAAATCCATTAGATTCAGATTCAAGCTTTTTATTCAACTAGTACTTGGTATGTTTGAGAGATTTTTGCTACAGGGTGCATGCACTCACCAGAGAAACAAAGAGAGACAAAGAGATAGAAAGTGAGAAATCACACCCCAGAGGGAAGGCCACACACGAATCTCTTCTCCTCCATTCTTCTCTCAGGATTTTGGGCACACACACATGCACCTTGCCTGAGTTTTAAGCTGCTAGGTCTGGGACTTTAACCACAGTCAACTACATGGGAGTCCAGGAAGTACCCATTACACCATCTGCTGGTCCGAGTATTTTGTACTGAAAGAAAGAAAGAAAGGAAGGAAAGAAAGAAAGGAAAGAAAGGAAAGAAAAGAAAGAAAGAAAGGAAAGAAAGGGAAAGAAAGGAAAGAAAGAGAGAAAGAGAGAAAGAAAGAAAGAAAGAAAGAAAGAAAGAAAGAAAGAAAGAGAGAAAGAAAGAAGATCAATTTCCATAACGGCCTCCTATAAGGTATCAGCAATAGGGACCAGCAGATGGCATAAAGGTTATGTCATTGGACTCCCAGGTAGTCATTTGCGCGGTTTGAGTCCCAGACCTGCTGGCTTAAACTCGTGCCAGGCGCATGTGCATGTGTGCCCAAGATCCGAATAGGAGAATGGAGAAGGGACTGCGGTGTGGCCATCCCCCCTGAGAGGTGATTTCTCGCTTCCTGTCTCTCTCTGTCTTTCTGGCGAGCACACACGCCTGATAGCAAAAACCTCTCAAAAAAAAAAAAAAAAAAACCACAAAGATATGGGCAATCTAAAGTGTTAAATATTTACACTTGAATAAACTGTTAAAATTATCTCATAGAAAATGGTTATGTTTAAACACTTAAAAAATACATTTTTTTAAGAAACATTTATCTGGAAAAAGAAGCCTGACTGACTCATTTAACAAATGCAGTATACAGATAACAACAGGTAGATCAAGTCTAGAAGTGCAATTAAACGGCAGTACTCATTTTAAGTAGCATCATTATAATGATCTAAACCTGTTTCATCTCATACTTGAGTGAGTGTGAGAAAGGGGGAAAAAAAATCAGACTATGATGAATGTATTTTTCTGAGCTCCCAGACAATGAATGCAAAATAAAAAACGTAACATGGTACTTCTTATGGAACATGTTGTCATAAGTACTGGCTCCATAGGGACTAGTAAGTGTGCACAGCCTGTTGAAGTCTACATACTGGGTTGATGGAAAAGTTATGATGTGTTTTTCTATGCACAAATGTGTCAGGACTTTTCTGATGGCTCAATAATAGCCTCAGAGATTTTTTTCCATTAAACGATAACAATATTCAGAATTTACCTACATGCATAAGCATAAAATGAAAATGTATTTAAATATTTAAAGAAGGAATGAAAATAAAAGACTCCCCACTGACTTCTGTTTACAGATGGCACATGATCAGCACTTCCACATCAAAGATTTTGGAGAAAATAAGCTAAAGATTCTTATTTTAATATGTAAATCTTTTCTCTCTGTTGTGCCTATCCTATCTACATTTTATTATTAAAATTTATTTAAGAGGCTAGCAGAGACTCCCACATAGTGAACTGCAGTTTGAGTCCTGGGCCCAGCAGCTTAAAACTCATGCATGCATTGTGCACTGGAACTGCACTGCACTGCATTTGCACTGCGCAATTGCATTGCATTTCCCGAAAGGAAATGGAGGAAAGTTTGCAGCAAGGCCATCCCCCCAAGAGGGGATGATATTTCGCTTTCAGTTTCTCTGTCTCTGTCTCTCCAGCGAATAAACATGTCTTATAGCAGAAATCTCTCAAAAAATTTAATTAAAACTGTTCAAAATTAAGTTTTCCAAGGCCAACAGGTGGTGTGGTGGTTAAAGGCGCGGGATTTCCACAGGCTGACTATAGTTTGAGTCCTGGACTTGGCAGCTTGGTATCTCACTTTCCCTTTCTCTCTCTGCCTCTCTTTGGTCAAATTAAATAATAATAATAATAACAAATGGAATTAAATAAATATTTTTTTAAATTAAGTTTGGTAAGTTGAACCAGATAAAAAGCAAATTTAAGTTGGAAACAAGACAATATATGAAAAGATTTCTTTAAAAGCTGACTAAAATTTCATTACATTTTAGTATATCAATTCAAGTGAAATATTCAATAGGCTTAGAGAGGGAAGATTTTATTTATTTTCAAGTAAAAGATAATATAATTCTATCCATAAGTTTAACTTCACTCTTCAGGACTATAAATATATTAACATGCTTACTGTTTTAGCAGTAAAAGTTTCTATTACATATTACATATTTTTATAAAACAAGTATATTTTAGAACACATATGGAGAAATTTATACAAAAAATTATAAGTTTAATATAATTCATTTATAATTACTTATATGACAACTGTTTTACAAATAAAGAAAATTAGTATTAACATTAGTCTCAATCACACCAAATAATTCATGCAATACAATCAACGAGTTCTCTCTTCTCACCTGGCCTGTCCGGGTAAGTTGCTCCATTCCTCGCGCTGGCCAGAACTTCGTGATTTTGATTTGTCTTTGCAAACAGAATCTGCTTGTTTCAAAGTGCGTTTGGCTGGAGGAGATACGTGGCTATCACTTAAACTACCATCAACTTCCGCTTTCTGAAAGATAGCATAAAAATGTATTTATTATTCCTATTAAGGCAAACAAAATTATTTTCTTTTTTAAAGATTTTATTTAACTTTCTTTCCTGATTTATTTATTTTTTAATTTGACCAGAGAGAGACAGAGTGAGGGGCGGGGGTAAGAAAGCAAGTCACGGGAACCAGCAGTTAGCGTAATGGCTATGTTGCTGGACTCCCACGTAGTCGACCGCGGTTCGTGTCCCGGACCCGGTGGCTTAAAACTCACGCCGGGCGCGTGTGCGTGCGTGCCCAAGATCCCGAGAGGAGAATGGAGGAGAAGGGATTGTTTTTTTTTTTTTTTTTTTTTATTTGAGAGAGGTTTTTGCTATAGGGCGCGTGCATTCACCAGACAGAGAGAGATATAGAGACAGAAAGCGAGAAATAACCCCCCAGGGGGGATGGTCACGCTGCAATCCCTTCTCCTCCATTCTCCTCTCAGGATCTTGGGCACGCACGCACACACGCCCGGCGTGAGTTTTAAGCCACCGGGTCCGGGACGCGAACCGCGGTCAACTACGTGGGAGTCCAGCGACATAGCCATTACGCTAACTGCTGGTTCCGGACAAATAGATATTCTTACGTAATTAGTATTTACTGAAGAAATCAAACCACAAATATGAGTAAATGTACTAACCTCTAAATAGAGAAACAAGACAGACAGATTACATTTATAATCAGAAAAATGTTTCATTTCTTGGTTTTACTTTTTCAAGAAAATAGTGTGTGTCTGGTATATGTATGTTTTTTTCTAGGACAAGATGCTTCATCCCCTTCTAAATACTCCAGTATAAATTCCCCAAACAAGGACATTTTGCGGGGACAGCAGGTGGTATGGTGGTTAAGGCAGTGGACTCCCACATGGTCAACCATGGTTCAAGTCTCAGACCTGGCTTCTTGCTTTCTCATTTTTTCTTTCTCCTTGTCTCTGGGGGAGCACACAAGCCCTATAGTAAATTTTTAAATAATTGGGGCCAGCAGGTAGCTTGGTGGTCGAGGTGCTGAATTCCCACATGGCTGACCATGGTTTTAGTCCCACACCTGGAACTTGCTTTCTCTCTCTTGTCTTTCTCTGGCAAAACTCATGTGAAAATAATAAATAAATAAATAAATCTTTAAAATAAGAAAGAAAAAATAAAATTTAAAAATTATTGTAATAGAGACCAGTAGATGGCATAATGGTTGTGTCACTGAACTCCCATGGTCAACCACGATTCAAGACCTGGCTGGCAGCTTAAACCTCATGTTGGACACATGTGCATGCATGCCCAAAATCCCAAGAGGAGACTGGAGGACAAGGGACTGCAGCATGGCCATGCCCCGCCCCGCCCCGGGAATGATTTCTCACTTCTGTCTCTCTGGAGAGTGCACATGCTCTATACCTATAGTAAAAATCTCTCTCAAAAAATAAAAATAATTATAATAAACGAAATTAAAGAAATAACTACCCTACCAACCTTAAAATAAGCATTGATGTAACACAAAACCAATCCACAGACATATCCAAATTTTACCTAATGTCCCATAAATATCTTTCTTTCAGTTCCAGGATTCTATCCAGGAATAAATACGGCATTTAGTTACTAGATCTCCTCAATCTCTTCCAATCTACAACAGTGCTTCAGTTTTTCCCTTCCTTTCTTACCTGCCTGTGACTGCAAAGAGTCCTTTCCTTCTCTAGGATGAGGCCTCAGTCTGGGTCTAGGTGATGCTCCCCATAATCAGATTCTGGCCATATGCTCCCGCAAAGAATAGACAGAACTATGCTGTGCATATCAGACCTACCATTCTCATCAGCAGGGAGATTAACCTTGATCACCTGGACGAGTTGCTGTCTATCAAGTTTTTCCACTACAAAGTACTATTTTTCCCTTTATTTTTTATTAGATTTTATGGATAACTATCCTAATATTGAGCAGTCTTCTGTTCCCCCATCGAACCTCTACCCACCAGACTTTGCATTCACCAGCAATTCTTGCTATGATAAAATACTAGTATGACAGTGATTAATTCTATTGTTCCCATATATTTTTTTAATTTTTATTTACTTATTATTATTTTTTAACCATTTATTATTTATTTGTTGTGATTTTCAAGCCACTGGGTCCAGTACTTGAACCATATTCAACCATGTGGAAGTCTAGCACCTCAACTACCGTGCAACCTACTGGTCGCTCTCCAATATTTTTCAGTTGGTACATTCTACTTTAATTAATTTTCCAGGACCAGCGGATGATATAATGGCTATGTTGCTGGACTCCGGTGTAGTCGACCGTGGTTGAAGTCCCAGACCTGGTGGCTTAAACTCATGCCAGGTGCGTGTGCGTGCGTGCCCAAGATTCCGAGAGGAGAATGGAGGAGAAGGGATTGTGGCGTGGCCATCCCCCCTGGAGGGTGATTTCTCGCTTTCTGTCTCTCTGTCTCTCTCTTGTCTTTCTGGCAAGCGCATGTGCCCTATAGCAAAAAACACTCTAAATAAAAAAGGTTTTTTCCCTGTGACCTATTCTTTTACTTATTTATATTTACATCAGCATAGACTCATAGATTATTATTATTTTCTTCTGTGGGTTATAAACCACTTATTTTCTTTGTTGCTGAAACTCGATGAGGTTTGGACAATGGAAGCACCTTTAAAGTCATTTCTGGGTCTTTTGGCAAGTCCCTCTCATTTTGCTTTTGCCAATCTTTCTCATTTTGAATACTTCCATACTTTCTGGCACAACAGCATTCTTCCGACTCATCTTGTAGCTTCCCTCTCTGGCCCCATAATTGGCCCTTCGTCCAAGGAACCTGGTTCCTTTTAGTAAAGATAGTATATAGAAAAGCAAGCTCTGGGCACTAGGGGTGCTCACTATTACTGTTTCACTGCTATCATGCCTCTCAGCAGACAGAGCTAACAGATACACGAGTATATACATATACACATATGCATAAACATACACATACCTATTTCTATGTCTGTAGATAATTTTTTAAATGGTTTTACACCAATACTTCTAATTCCAATCCCACACCTTTAACAACATGCTTCTATCCTTTTTTTCCCTTTCATTTCTCTTTTTTAGAGATTTTTGCTATAGGGCATGTGTGCCTACCAGGGAGACAGAGAAAAAGAAAGCAAGAAATCACTCCCTGGTCACACTATAATCCTTCCTCTTCCATTCTCCTTTTGGGATTTTAGGCCAGTACCACACATGCCCCACGTGAATTTCAAGTCACTGGGTCCAGGACTCGAACCGCTGTTGGCCATGTAGGAGTCCAGCAACATAATCATTATGCCATCTGCTGGTCCCTCCCCTGTCACTTCTTCCTCACCCAGAAACCTGGCTTCCGTTATCTTTAATACACCCATTTATTTGCTTTTCCAATTAATTAATTTATTGTTGCTTTTAGATCTTGCCATACAACATGTGTACTCAACAGAGAAAGACAAAGGGAAAGTGAGAAATCACGCCCCACGGTTAATGATGACACTGCCTTGTTCTCCATTTTCTCCCCAGAATGCTGGGCACACAAGCACATGTACCTGGTGTGTTTCTCTAGCTGCTGGTCTAGGACTTGAACCACACAAGCAGCCATGGGAGATCCAGTCTCCATAACCAACATGGTACCTGCTGGCCCCTTGTTTTTCTATTTTGTTGTGTGGCACATGTACTCTTCAGAGAGAGACAAAAAGTGAGAATGCACCTCCACCCCACATACACAGGGCACACCTCCATTCTCCTCTCAAGATTTCAGGTATACACACACTTAGGCGTGGCGCATTTCTCAAGATGCCAGGTCTGGGACTCAGACTACTCAGTCAGCCATGTGGGATCCAGCTGCCTTAAATACCATGCCACCTGGCTTGCTCTCAATTAAGTAATTTATCAAAACATCACATCTTGAGACCAGCAGATAGCATTAATGGTTACATCACTGCACTCCCACCTAGATGGCTGTGGTTCCAGTACTGGACCTGGAGGCTTGAAACCCATGCTGGGTGCATGTGCATGCATGGCCAAAGTCCCAAAAGGAGACTGGAGAAGGGACTGCAGTGTAGCCATCTCCCCTGGGGGTGATTTCTTGCTTTTTGTCTCTCTCTCTGACTCGCTAATGAGTGCATGCGCCCTATAGCAATAATCTCTTCTAAAAAAAAGTACCAAATCTCTCAACTAGCATGCTCTTCCCATCCATCACACTTCCCTTTCAAGCTCCATGTCCTCAGATTACAAGGTCACTGTCTCTGCACAGCACTGTCATCATCTGCCAATTCCTTGGGTGGAAGGAGAGACAGGGGAAGGAAGGAAGAAGGATTAGCCTTTCCTTTAGAGAATATTTATATAGATTATCACTTGGCATTCTGTATCAGTATTTCAAAGGTATATGATTACCTTTAATATGCTGTCATGTAAGAATAATGCTGTCATATAGAAAATCTAGTCATTTCCATTCACCCTACAAATTTCTTTTAAGAAAAATATATAAGGCCACTGGAGGTGTGGTGTTTAAGGCAATTGGATCCCACACAGCCAATCGCATGGTTCAAGTCCTCAACCCTGCACCATGAAAAACATGTTGGGTCCATGTGTACGCATGCCCAAAATCCCAAGAGGAGAATAGAAAAGACTACATCGTGGCCATGTTCCCTGAGGGCGGGAGGACTTCTCACTTTCTCTCTTGCTCTCACTCTCTCTCTCCGGTGAGCACACATGCCTTATAGCAAAACTAAAATAACGATATAATAATTACTCAAAAGTTAGCTCCTAGTGGGCCAACAGATGGCATGGCAGTTATGGTACTGAACCTCATGTGGCTGACTCCATGGGTCGAGTCCTAGACATGGAGGCCTACAAACGCACCAGGCACATGTACATGTGTGCCCAAAAAACCCTGAGAGGAGAACTGGAAGAGAAGGGACTATAGTGCGGCCATCCCTCCTAGGGGGTAATTTCTTACTTTCTCTCTATCTCTCCATCTGTCTCTTTCCAATAAGTAAACACATCTTAGGGTAA